TAGCACCAGGTGGGCTGTGAGCTCGTCCATACATATAAGCAATAAAAAAAAAATAGAAACTTCCCCTTCAAATAATTTACAATATGTATATTTTGAAGGTGGTGGTGTATATTTTGAATGGTGAAGGAACACTACATATCTGCTTAGTGCTGTTTGTTTGCATCATTATCATTCATCATTTCCATACTGTTGATTTATTATGTGTATGTATATTTGTATATAAATCGGTTAGCTATATATTTAATATTATATGTAAACGATGAAGAATTAAAAGTTCACGGGTCAATATACAGGTCTATGAAAGCCAATGTTACGCGATCATGGGGCAAGTCACGTTTGACCTAAACTGAACGATCTTTGATTGAACAATTTTCTTCGACAGTAGCCCGCGAAAAGTTTTGATTAACACGTTATACTAGATGACTCACGACACGCCACGTCGCTTAGTATATACGGGGTGTTTTACTGCATAATAACTGAATCATTTCAAAATTTAACCATACTGTATTCCAATTACGAAATCCCATGGAACAGATGTTATTATTATGTTATTGTGTGTGTGCGAATTAATTGAATTAAACAAAAAATGATTGTTATTTCAAATTATGCGAAACGTGAAGAGTTACGTTCTAAGAAGTGTCAAAAGGGACTTCGTAATTGGAATAGAGTATACTGACTATTTTTTTCTTTCAAAACTTAGACGACTTGTACTTTCATGATCTTTGTCGATATGTCCTCCGCGAGCGATGACCACTAGCTCTAAATCCTTAACCGCAGTAACAGAAAAACAATGAAAATCTGTGTGCCTTTTATCAGTTGTACAATGAAGGCAACATAGGACTATTAATGAATAATGTGACGTCATTAGTGCTGATATCCTATTGCATTAACATTACGTTACTTCAAACTTGAAGAGAATAGATATTCCAATGAATTACTTGTTTGACAACATTTTTTTAAAACTTATCGGTCTCGGAAAATCTGGGCCTGATTTTTACAGAGCTCAGCATTTGAATTGAAAAAGTATCAACAGGATAAAAGAAAGATGAAATTAATTGTTCGTTCAATACGCTGTTTAGGCGTGTTTTTTAATTTCTAAACAACATACATTACTACATTATTACATTATATTATTCTTATAGGTATTTAATATATTTGTTTTATTTGTTTATTTCAACATACAATAAAATAATCTATCTTCTATCTATATATCCAAAAATGAATTGCTGTTCGTTAGTCTCGCTAAAACTCGAGAACGGCTGGACCGATTTGGCTAATTTTGGTCTTGAATTATTTGCGGAAGTCCAGAAAAGGTTTAAAAGGTAGATAATATGAAAAATAGATAAAAATGAAAATGCTCGGAATTAAATAAAAATAACAATTTTGTTTTTCCTTTGATGTGTCCCTCGTTGGAGGGATTCCTTTTGTTTGTTTTAAGTTTATTTTATACAAAAGTTTAGGGTCTTTTATTTATCGATTGAGGCACTACGAAGTCTGCCGGGTCAGCTAGTATAGTATAATAATAATTATGTGTTTTTTCTATGCATAAATTATTAATTTGCAACACTCTTCATGAGAATCTAGCAGTTATCTTTAAATTTTATTTCTGACATGAAAGTAACGAATGAAAACTAGAAACAAACATTATGTAGTCTCTAGGCGAAACCTAACGGAAATCTACTAGAATTTTTACTATAGTCCAATACAAACTCTTCTAAAGTTCAAACGGACTGCGCTAGTCGATTCCCTGTGCGAATAACAAAATTTCCGATCAGACTGGGATGCTTCTTCCGACTCTTCGTCAATGTTTGTTTATTTTGTTTCGTGTATTCCGTACGGTGGAAACTTATTTTATACCCGCTACATCAATGTTGTGGCTGTTGCCACACGTCTAAATGTGCTAAGACTTCGCTACGTATTTACACTAACGAGTTTAGGAGCTTCTAAACTTCTTAAGCTTCCATAGAAATACATACATCGACGTAGATGAAACATACTTCTACGTTTATCATTTTTTTAGTGCACAATTAGAATCAAAGTCAAAGCACGAGATCAGCTTGAGGGTAAAGAGCACATGTGGGCACACGTGCTGGCATTCCTGCCGTCGACCGTCAGGCGAACCGTGTCTATAATGGCAAAAAAAACACAAAATATTAACAATTTACATATGTAAAAGGTAGAAGGTACATAGTATACATACATACCGCCGCTTATGGACATTTCAAATGCTACAACACATTAAACTGTCTAACCACTGAGACCTTAGAACTTATATCTCAAAGTGGGTGGCGCATTTGCGCCGTAAATGTCTATGGGCTCCAGTAACCACTTCACACCAGGTGGGCTGTGAGCTCGTCTAAGCAATTAAAGAAAAACAAAATTATTTCAAAAAGGTTTCATTAAAATTAAATAAAACCTCTAGATAATACTAAATCGAAACTTGAAGTTTCACAAGTGAAGGAATAAACTAATTAAAATGTGAAAATCATTTCTTTAAGTAGTTAGAGAATCTGAAAAAAACAGTTATACCTACATTATTTCATATACCTAGATTACGCAAAGCGACATTAAAGTGACAGAAAAGTCGTTTTTTTATCCGCCATCATGTTAATGATGGAGCGTCGTTTTGCATTTTTTTGGCGGTCTCAGTCTCGCCTACGTGGCGGTGCTCTTCAGACATCGCTTGGGATTTTTGCAAAAAGTAAAAGTCATATTCACCGAGCACGAGTCTTTAGATATGATCTGACGGAGTATCTTGAAAGGGCAATGACTTGTCGCCTTGGATGAACTTCTTAAAACGTGAGAGCACTCAATATTAAATTGACTATAAACAAACATTTCAGTTTATTTGCTTAAATTTACGAGGCATCTCACAAAAACATCGACGTGAAAATAAGGATCAGCTAAGATGTTTTCTTTACATTTATATTTTTCAATTTGTAAAAGGAAATTAAAGGTCTGTTTGTTTCCCAAGGCGGCACTTAAAGTATTTATTTTAAGCCTTATTGAGCCGACTTCATCTTATCTAAGGGCGCTTATGAGGAACTCCCTCTGTCAAAAGACGTTTAAATATTTTCTGCTTACGTTACGCATTTAAAATGATTTGGGATGGTTTTGTTAGAAAAAAAAATACATTTTGTAGTGGAATTTTCGCAGGTTTAACAAATAACGTAAATTAACATTGAGAATAACATAAAATTAAAACCTTCACGATTCCAGCACGAGAACTCTGAATTTCATTTCGAAAATTCATTCTATATACTTAAAGAAAGTTTTGAATTGAGACTCAGCTGACGTTTCAATATAAATTTAAATTGAAAAGTACACTAAGTGGCTTAAGATTAAGAAAAGTTACGTTATATTTTAAGAGAAATTATACATCAAAGCGCAGAAATTTCTTTGGATCTTGAATTGAAAGAACCATTGAAAATAAATGTTTTTAATGAACAGTGCCTTTATCACATTATTTGTATCAAGCATCAAGAGAGCGAAGAACCTTTACCTCTTTTAAACTGGCTTTGCAAGCAGATCAACATACGGCCTGCCAGATGGTGATCTACCGAGGTGACCAGTGAATGACAGAGACAATACCAAGCCACTAATTACCTTTATAGAGTCTCCTCAAGCCTCATTTGGAGAAGAACTTTATAACACACAAGAAGCACTGAGTTGATTCCTGAGAGATTCGTAGAGTGCACTTCACAAATGATTTTAGGACTTGTACTGTAGATGAACCCGGTGATTTTAGAATTGAACTTTGCGCGGATGGTACTATGTTATTAAGGAGATAATGTGTATTGTTTCATTTAACTCATTTACGTTATGATATAAATTATTATTAAAATCGCTAAATCCTCCACAAAGCTACAAACAACTATTTATTCGAAGGGATGATTTCAAAAAGAATCTGTTCAAGAACCTTACTGAATTGTGAGGGACTACTGATCCTTCAATTCTTGCCTATTTAATAATCGATTATTGCCCGAGGGTAAAGACGGATTACCATATCAAAAGGACGCATGATCTCATGTTCAACGTCAATTTGGTAAAACATTTCGTTCAAAGACGCTGAGGGTGAGGTGTTTCGAGAATTACTTAGAAAGAATCCTTTCTTTTATGTAACGTCTTCTATAATTTAGCAACAGATCATCATCTTCAGCGTGATTATGGTATTCTTCTTATACTAATGCTACTTTTTTTATTTGAAGTGATTGAAATAAAAAAGTTAAACCTTCATGGTAAAAGTACATTCCAGAAAAACATTCCAAAGGCTTTATTTCTTAACATTTTTATTATTGCTTAAGTATTATTCGTATAGTCCAGCATCATTAATTGATTCTGTTGAAAATAGCTGTTTGATTAATGTGGTGGTAGGACTTCTTGTGAGTCCGCGCGGATAGGTACCACCGCCCTGCCTATTTCTGCCGTGAAGCAGTAATGCGTTTCGGTTTGAAGGCCGTTGTAACTATACTGAGACCTTAGAACTTACATCTCAAGGTAGGTGGCGGCATTTACCTTGAAGATGTCTATGGGCTCCATTAACCACTTAAGTGTTAACACCAGGTGGGCTGTGAGCTCGTCCACCCATCTAAGCAATAAAAAAAATTAAAAAAATACATTACAAATACACTTTTTACGATTATTTTACGAAATACATGACTCATATAATATCACTTTGTAAAAAATATAATACTTTAAATTTCTACAGTAGTTCACTGCTTGCTATTCACGACCACATTGAATGTATTTTAAATTACCATTTGAACTAAATTGCCAAGAATTAGCGTTATGGAGCGTACCCACATTCGCATTTTTATAGCCTACGCACTCTAGTATGATTCGAGGATTCTAGATCATGAATTGTAGTTCTGGTAAGGGTAAGCATTAATGTACGATTACAACTATTTCGCCATTTCCTGAAAATGGTTATAGTATACGTTAATTTTATTCTCAATGTAATCCTCTCATTACAATCCTATTTTATGAAACCAAGATTTAACATGACCATGAATATAATCTTGGCTGATGTCACGCAAGCACTTTCAACGTTGCTTCCCAATTTGGGGGGCCCGAGCGCCGCCTGTAGGCGGTTGTACGTGGAAATGGTGCGGTCCATAGCTCTGTATGGGGCCCCTGTGTGGGCGATGGACATGACGGCCAGCACTCTCGCCATTCTGCGTAAGCCGCAGAGGGTGATGGCCGTCAGAGTCGTCCGCGGGTACCGCACGATTTCCTACGAGGCGGCTTGCGTCCTGGCCGGATCCCCGCCCTGGGACCTAGAGGCGAAAGTACTCGCGTCATTATATCGATGGCCGCATAGACAGGGAGCCGGACGCTCGATGCCACCACTGCGTCCACTGCGGGGAGGACACGGCGCAACACACGCTCGCCGAGTGTGTAGCTTGGGAGGAGCAGCGCCGCGTCCTCACAAATAAAGTAGGAAGCGATTTGTCGCTGCCGGCCGTAGTGCGGAGGATGGTCGGCAGCGCAGAGTCGTGGGACGCCGTGGTGTCCTTCTGCAAGGACGTGATATCGCAGAAGGAAACTGCGGAACGGGAGAGGGAGATCTCGACTCCCTTCCCCGGCCGCAGAAGGTGCACCGGGCGCAGGAGAAGGGCGGACAACGCCCTTTTCCGCCCCCCATGAATGGGTCCAGGGACGAGGGACTTGGGAAAGCCCTCGCCCCCTATTCGATGGACCTGAGACGGAGGCACGTGCGGGTGTTGGCGCGTGTCTCTGAGGCGATGCACGGAGTAGCTGAACGCCTCACTACCCTGCGCAGGAGACGATGCCTGGACAGACCGGGCCAGCACTGGTGTGGGGCTGCGGAAGAATTTGGATTCCCGCGACCCTGCGCGCACGAGTGGGTGGACACCGGAGTGGTTTTAGCCGGTAGGAGTCCGGCACGCCCCTCCGCCTTTCCCCAGGCGGAGGTAGTCCATGAGGATTTCCCCCCGAAAAAAAAAAAAAAATGTCACGCAAGCAGTCGGTTGTAAATCTGTGTGCGAAATCGAGTAAGACGTTGTGCTAATTTCGAATGATGAACTATAAGAGGCTAGAAAAAATCTAGTTTAGCTGACCCATCAATCAGTAAATTATAATATCGTTAGAAAATACCAATAATCTAGACTAGTCAAAAATGTAGTTCACGTCCCTTTTTTTTTCTACAGGAGGAAATCGCCGGATACCCACCCGCACGGCGCGGCGAGCGGGGTATGTGGCAGTTGAACCTCACTAAAAACTGCTGCCGCTCACAGCCGGCGCCCTACCCCGGACAGGACCGAAGCCCAGTCGGAGCTATTGAGACGGCGGGACAGGGCTTGCGCAGAGCATATTACACGCCGTCCCCCAGACGCCGGACCGGCGGCTGCTAGTGACACGACCGCCGGTTCCCTCGGTCGACGGGCCAGGAGCCCGCATTGATGGCACCGCGCTACACCTTCCCCCGGAGCGGTCGGGGGAACGCAGCCTACCCTCAACCGGCTTCGCATTACGGGTGAGCGTGTCGAGCAAGCCGCCCCACACCTGAGTCCCTCCCCGCATAAAGCGGGTGGAGCCCGAAGCTCTTAGGGGGCCGGGTGACGGACGGGACCCCAGTCCCGACCCCCTGCTCGGCGGCGGCGGATTTCTGCGTAGTAAGGAGAGCTTTGCCTCACTCGCCCCGCCGCCTCCTTCTGCGAGATGGTGCACTCGCAGAAGACGAGCATAGCCTTCCAGGACTCGTCGCCACCAAGCATCGATGCCACGACGCCAGGCAGCGCAGCGACAAGTCCGCACCTATCTTGGCCACAAAGACACGGCGCTGCACCTCCCAAGTGGGGCAGACAGCGAGCGTATGCTCCGCCGTGTTCACAATGGTGGCACCTCGTCGTCGGCTCATCTCCTATCCGGTGCAGGTACTTCCCGATGCATCCGTGCCCAGTCAGCACCTGCACCAGGCGGAAGATGAGGCGTCCTTCGCCACGATTCACCCAGTCATCAAAGACCGGGTAAACCGCCTCGACGGTCCGTAGACCCCATGTGGGGTTGGCCAACCACTTCGACCACGACTCGAGCACGGACCGCCGAGAAAGGGCCTTCCGCGCCCGCAGCTCACTATTGGGGAGACGCCCCACTCCCAGAGCACGAAGCTCGCTGCGCCACCGATAATCGGCAGTGAGCGACTCCGCCTCCAGCTCCCATGGCGGCGTCCCCGCCAACACACACGCCGCCTCGAAGGAGACGGTGTCCACATCCCTAGAGAAATTATAAAAAAAATAACCACAAATCTAGATTACATTACATTATATATTTATGTATGATACAAAAGGTCATTTATATTATTTATATATCTTAATACATACAGAAGATATAGACACGTATCAATCCAAAAACGAATGCAGTTTATGAAAATGTGTTATTGTCAATATTATACTTCAATACAAAAAACTATATTACCGGATCTTACATATAAAATTTCAAAACGACTTTTAAATTTTAAAATTGTATTAAAGTACCAAAATTGTATTACTATCTTATTTATTTTGAAAGGGATAAATTCAACAATATACTAATGTAGAACAGCTCAATAGAATACTATTCTTCTATAAAATATTTATTTATGGTATGAATTAACTTAACACATTCATTACAGCTTGAGAACAATTAGGAACACAATTACAATTTAAATCACAAAGCTTTATCCTCTAAAAGTATTCAAGATTATTGTTCCGTCGTCTGATTCGCGGTCGCAAAGAAAATATTGAAGTTATTTAAATAGCAAAGGGATCCATTGAAACATGAAGTTTCTAGAGTATTCGACAAAGAACGCGAAGACAAGCGCTTTCAGTAACGAATAAGGCCCGGAACGCTTTGACCCACAACCAACCTCTTGGCAATTTATTCCCTATTAAAATTCTTTCCTCAACTCGGGATAACTTCGTCTCAAAATATAACGGACCGGCCAACGATTAGAAGCATTTTGTAAGCAATAACCAAATGAATTTTGTACGTTCCGGAGTTGAAATTATTAACGTTATTGTGTTTTTGGATTCACTTTGTGTACCGCAAAATCAAAAATTTTTGGCCTATCCAACTCTTGCAAACAAAATAAACTTTTTCTGTTTCCACGAAATAAACTTATATTTCATTATTTAGTAGTACAGGTTTAAGTGATATATTTTTAATAGACCGATCATTCATATAAGTGTAACTTTATTACGTTTGTATTTAAAACTTTTTCCTGTCTGCCTATACGGGTGAAAGCGACTTAATCTATAAAAATGATGAGAATTAAAAAAAATCAATGAAGCTCTTAATATGATATCACATTGCAAGAAAAAATGCCGAATAATAGAAGAAAAATTGCTGAAGATTTTTTAAGTGGCAAAATTACTATATTTTGCTTTTTGTGTAAAATTTTGTAGTAATCAAAACGACATTTTTCAACAATTTCATTTCAGTTAAAATAAAAAGAAAATAACTGATGAATCCATTTACATACAGAATAATATATTGAGGTTATATTATTCAATCTCCACTAGATAGAAAACTAAATTTATATTCATAAGCATTGCAAGAGGGGAGGATGCTGAAATTTCAAATTTGGTATCCGCAGGTAGGTACTAGGGGAGCCACCCTCCCAGGTAATCAACTGACAAATGTTTTAGATATTTTATAAACTTCATTACATAGATATATGAGCTATTTTTTTTTTAATATTTGCCCTTATCCTTATTTATCTTCATATCTACATATAACGGCTGAAAAACTATGAAGCAGTTAAAAACTTCTTCTCGTAGTAGCTGTTAAGCTATGCATCTTCTAAAAATATTAAATTCAAATGTGCTATTGATAGTTAATTCAAATTTTATCATAGAAGCTACGTTATAGAAATATTTTTTAAGCAATTTCAACTAGACTATCTTAGATGTTTATAAAAAATAAATTTAAATGGTCTTCTATCTAAGAAAATCTTAAACTTATGGAAAACTCCCGTTCCGTAGCCATCTTGGTATGGAGTACAAATACAAAAGAGGAATTGCGTTCTCCAAAGAGAATTCGTGCTTGAATTTGTAATGTACGAATCATACAAGATATTCTAAAAAAGTTCTCAAATAGGTAAGTAAATAATACTAACAAAGTCAATGAAGCATCCGGAAAACTGTAAAACTAAAGAGTAGTAGAGTAAGACTATCTATGTATAGTAAGTATTTCGTACCGTTTGTTAGATGAGTAGTAAACAATTTTTTGACTTGATCTCGTTATTTTTCACATCACAATACCAATCACCGGAATAGACATCATCCGTATTACCTGGAACTATTCATAGTCCAAGTCATAGTTTCTAAAGATCTATTTTACAGCTCTTGAATGGAAATGGAATGAACTTCATATTAGTTGGCTCCGACTGCATAAAAATTATACGCAATCAAAAAGTTAATATAAAATGGAGTTTTCTTGAAAAATTTATGTTGTAAGTATCTTTTATTATTAATAAATGAAAATAGTGTCTGGCTGTCTGAAATTTTTTAAAGAAAATGAAAGCTTAACAGTAAAAATCGTATATATAACAGTTCTGACGTATAAAGACCATAAAAAAAATTACACCGTTCTATAATGGTCTTAATGTGTTACAAGTCACACAATGTATTATAGCTATATGCGAAGTCTAACCGTTTATAAACCAAGGTATTTCTTAATTTACTCCCCTCAGATAAAGACTGCTAAGGTGACAAGTAAAGCCATTAACAACATTTATGGGGCAGGGCGGAACGTCCCGAGAATACAAAGACGTACATAAAAATATATTCACGCTACCTACTATACTGAATAAACAAATAAATTGAAACTGTAATAATTTTTAGGTGTCGTCATATTTGGTACGTCGCACGGAATACAACGAACCTTTTCGAAGAGATTTATTTTCATAAAGACAGCTACAGACAATCACTTTTTTAAGTAACCAACAGATTACTAGTACCGAAAATTACTGATAATTTTTAGATGCCATTACAGACGTAGCCCGTTGACGATTTGCAATTTTGTATATAGCATTGTCGTACTGTATTCAATAATCACAAAAATTAAAACATTATTTCTCTATATCCTTTATGATCTTTTTCAACCGTATCAGTGAACACAAATAATGCAACTTGATTTGAACAGTGTAAAAAAACGCGTTGTTTCCTTTAATTCTTTTGTAAAATCCTTTTGTCCAATTTTAAATAAACTATGATACCTACTCCTACATCGATCCTATATCAATAGGCATCAAGGATAGTCAAAGTAACAAAATACATAGCACGATGTAGTAAATATAGAGAAACATCGTAATAACTATGTTTAACCGAAGTTTTCCATTTCATATTTTACCGTAGTTATCAGTTTGATTTTCAGAATGTAGATTTTTTACATTTTTAAAATTATTTTTCTTTAATTTTAAGAAAATCCAGGGCAACACATGCATAAAAAAAACATTGAAATTAAAGATATAAACATATAAATATAAAATATATAAAAAAGATATAAATATATGTAAATCTCCTGGAGATTATGTATTTGTGTCAATTGTTAATTAAATAAAAAGAGAAACACATTCCCGAGGTAAAAATAATATTTATTGCCTTTGAAGACAGACATGCTTACTGCACACCGCATGGTGAGTG